CATATGAATTTTATTTTTAATATGCATGTTTGTTAGCTGGAATTGGAATTGTAACCATTAAATTAGTTAATTATTTCTCTATAACAGAAGGACAACTGGTGGAGTAGTGGTAAGGTAAGTTGTTTCCTTCTAAAGGAGGCCATGGGTTCGAAACCCCATGCCTCCATCACAAAAATGTTTTAAGGCTTTTAAGATATATATATTAATTAAAATTAGAAATCTATATATTTCGGGCCGGGTTCGGGGACGGGGACACAATTACCATACCCGCCCCGAATTTGTCGGGGATTTTTTTTTCGGGTCTCCCCCGTACCCGTAACCGATTTGGCCCCGAAAATTCCCCCCGTTAGGGTCGGGGACCCGACGGGGACCCGCCCCCGCGGGGATTTTTGCCATCCCTAGTTCAAGTACCACATATTCTTTTCCTGCAACATAACGTGCAAGATCATGAATGATATCATTCATCTTGTATCCAATTATTTCTCCACCGTCATGTAGCCGTACTTCTTGCAAGAAAGATATCCACAATAATTCGAAAAAGTATTCATCACCGTCTGTGCTTCCCTCATTTGGAATGAAGCCTTCTGCCATCCATAGATGCATTAACTTGTGCTTCTTGAACTCATAATTTTTGGGAAATAATGAGCAAAATGTAAAGCATTGTTTGACATGTGTTAGTAGATGATGATAACTCAATATCAGGGCAGGTAAAACTTTATTTTCGCTTTCATCTAATTCCCACAGTTCACAATCTCGCATAAATAACCACTGTTTTTTATCTCTTTTCAAGCGCATTGAACTTCCCAAACTTTTTGCTTTTTTATCTCTTTTCAAGCGCATTGAACTTCCCAAACTTTTTGCCGCTAATGGCACACCTCCACATTTTTTGACAATCTGCTTTCCAATCCGGGAAAGAGTTGGATACTTCTCTTCTTCTCCTAGTCCAAATGCCCGCTGCTTGAACAAAGACCAGCAATCATCATCCGTCAAACCATTTAAATAAAATGGTGAATTTGGGAACCCCATCATGAATGGAATTTTTTGACTGCGGGTAGTGACAATGATTTTGTAGCCATCAAGACCCCTTGTAAACAAAGGTCTTAGATTATCCCAATCATCCTGGTCTTCAGTCCAAACATCATCTAACACAATCATGTATCTTTTCTTCTGTAGCAATTTCGAAAGCCGAGGCTGAAGTAGTTCAATCTCCAACAACTTGCATTCATCCTCTGTTGCACACTCAATGGCTGCCTTCATAATCTTCTTGACATTGAAATCCTCAGAAACAAAAATCCATATTCTAGAGTCGAAGTGTTGGAGTACCCTCTCATCTTTATATGCCAATTGAGCAAGAGTGGTCTTGCCAATTCCTCCAATACCAATTATGGGAATACAGGTTGCATATCCATCCTTGGAACTTTCCAAAGATAGTAACAGTTTGACTAACTTCTCTTTCTCATCATCTCTTCCATATATCTTTGAGTCGTCCACGCAAGAGCCAGTCTCCCTTATGGTAGAGCGTCGACCTCCAATGCTAGGCTCTCTAATATCAAATCTCGAGAGTCCTTCATTTAACGCCTTTTCTAACTTGCGAAGTGTTTGTCTAATTTTTTTTGGACGGAAAGCTTTAGCCAAAAGACTCACTGGGGTTTCAAAGTCCATGGTTTCGCGAGCAATAAACAAGTCCAGATGGTCCTCAGCATCAGAAGCAGCATTCTTGAGCTTTGACAACCAAAGCCTAATAGATTTGTTGGTTAATTGCTCCTCCTCTGCATCTTGAAGAATGGCTTGAGTCCTCATCAAGGCATCTCGTAGGCCCTGGAAGTTGTCCTTCACACCCCAGATATCAGCGAGGGTTTCTAAGGCTGGGGAGGCCAATCTGCTAAAAATATGAATATGAGTTTGAATATGTTAGGTTCTTATTTTATTCTTCTCCATAAGGAGGTATATATAAGAGTTTACATGAGTGCTTTACAAGGAATTAATATAGTAAAGGATTAGGAAAGTATCTCCTAATTATACAATGATTTGACAACTATATAAAAATAGGAAAGTAAATCCCGTAATTAATCAAGGAAATAAATCTCCTTGATTAATTAGGAGACTCACTTCAACACAATCTGTCAAAGATGACTTGCAAAGCAGGGGATAAAACTATGCTTGCCGCTTCCATTTCTAGCAACAAGACCACCACCAAAATAAACAAGGCTGAGATAAAGAGAACAGTTGTTGGATCTGGAAATGGAATGGATCTGAACAAGTGGAGAATTTTCAATTTGGTTGATGTTAAATCTGTGTTGTGTAGCTCTTGAGGAACTTTCAAAAGCCAGACATGCGGTTCACACTCAATGTCAAGGTTTATCATATAATCAAAATCACTATTCTCATGGCCCTTCTTTGAGAAGCTTGCATGCAATTACATAACTTCTAGCCTCTTTTTCAGCAGAAATTTCTCCACTACCCTTCACCGAAGAAAGGAAGTCACTTTTCCCTAGTGAGCACTTTTCTTGTTTGGTTCATGGTGGAGATAGATATTTGTTTCTTTCTCTTCATTTTTTTTCCCTTCTTTCATTTGCCTTTAAAACTTCATTTTTGACTTACTTTTCCCCTAAACTTATTTGAATAATGTTTTAAAAAACCCATTGTGGTAACAGTCAACTATACCAAAGCTCATATGGCGCAGACGTGGAGCAAAATAGACTAGTTTTTGACACCTTCACTTGAGTGAAAAATCAAGCTTACACTATTTCTCCCGCTATGTTACAATGTTGCTACACAAGAGGTTGATTGGTCTATATTTTTCTCACCCTTACGTGAAACTTCTCCGTGTTCAGACCGTTGGAGCTCACCTTTGTCATGCTTTTGCTTCAACCACATCTGCCTCAAATATTAAGATTTGAGAACCATCTTTCTGGTTTAACTTCGTTTGATGTAAATAGTTTGATGTACGTGTTGACAAACACAGAAAGCTTGAAACAAAAAAAAAAGAAAAAAAAAGAGAGAGAGAGAGAGAGAGAAGGATCAATACAACTTCCTTCTTACACTTTTTGAGCAGGAAAACCACAAGCACCTTCATCAGTGATTACTAGGAAAACCGAAGCACCTTCATATATATTTTTTTAAAGAATTATTGAAAACTTCCAGGAAATCTTTAAATTTTATTACAAGTTACTAGGGCTTATTAGTGTCGGATTTCGTATGGTTTCGGAGACTAATATAATTTATGGTTAATTAATGTTTAAAATCGTTCTTTAAGAGCTAGTTTAGCTATGAGGTTTTGGTCTCTGGCCTAAATCCTAAGAGCATCTCCAAGAGAGATATCAAATACCAAACATCAAATTTAAATTTGTTGGCTGATGTGGCAATATGAAAATTACACAGTTTTACACTGCACTCAATATGTCAAATTAAATTATTATTTTATTACATTTAAGTGTTCATTCAAGATAGGAAATAAATTAGAAAGAGAAAGAAGGAAAAAATTTGTAATAGTCAAATCATTCAAGATAAAGAAGAAAATAATTAAAAAAATAATAATAAATAAAAGTAACAGCCAGCTGTCTTTAAAAAATAATGACATATTCATTAGACATCTTGCTTTTGGGATGTCAAAAGTAACGGCTGAATCTCCAGCCTTCATTCCACATCAGTTTTGACAATTCGGTTGGAGTGATGTGAGATGTTATTTTTAGCTGTTAAATGTCTATATGACTCTTTTAACATATCGATTGGAGATGCTCTAAGCTATGAGTGAGCATTTAAGAAAAAAGAACGAGTGACACAGCTATGTAATAGTCTAGGGCTAAACAAATAGAAAATAAAGCATAGGGTCTGGATATAAGTACAGAAATGCTGATGGACCCTTTCTTTGAAAAGCTTTAATCCAAGGACGACACTTTTCCACCGAGCCCCACCTTCACGAGATAAGAATGCTTTTCTACATACTTTTCTTGTTTGGTTTATTTCTTTTAATCTTTTTTCATCTTTTTCTCTCTGCTCATTATTTCCACCCACCGACATTTTCTTTCTTTTGTTAATTCTTCCTCATTTCATCAAGGCTTAATTATCCTCATACTCCTCATTTCATCAAGGATATATGCCTTTACTTTGCCCTTTAAAATTTAATTCAACTCACTTTTCCCCTCAACTTATTTGAATAAAAACCCCATTATGTCAACAGTCAACTAAATCAATTAATCTTTCATTACCATAGCTCACATGGCGCATGTATACGTGTATAGGCATTTTAGTCATTTCTGGGCATCACACTGATGCCACCGTGTAGGATCACCGTGCATACAAATCCTGCGAAGCCTTCGAACAAAATATGTTTTTCTTTAGAGGTTTTGGTCTTGATTTCGTTATATATATTTTTCTTGTATTGTTTTGGTGGATATCTTGTTTTAGCCCAATATTGGTTTGTACGTATTGAAGAACATGATTGATATATGCAAGAGTGTTTCTGCCAGATAAGTTGGTTTTCTTTAAGAAAAGAACATTGAGTTCTTGCTTGTTTCCTTATTGTCAAAAACATTGAATTTTGGTTTATATGAAGCTAAACAACAATGAAGTCATTCCCACCAAACTCAAATGATCCACATAATCTGTTTTTAATAAACAAAATTGTCAACATGCACCATTAATATTGGATGACAATGACATTGATTGTAGGTATTGAAGAACTTGATTGATATATGCAAGAATAGTGTTTCTGTCAAATGAAAAGTATTGATATATGCAAGAACTTGATTGATATATGCAAGGTGTTCGACAAATTACCTGAAAGGACTGAGGCGGGCCAACTGGGCGAGCAAAGAGAGCTGTTGTACGGCCTTCAGTTGATGTCAAGTGATGGCTGTCGAGCAAAGAGAGCTGTTGTATGGGCAATCAAATGGCAACTATCAAGCAAAAATCTACAATACAACAATACAATATGACTAATACTTTATTTTTTTAAAAAAATAAACAGAATCAAAATTAAGAGAGACAAGTAAACCCTATTTTTTTAATCAAAAAGGAGAATTTCATTCAACTAGGAAAACGTATAGGAGGAAAATCTGGAAAATGAAAAAGAGTACCACAACACCTCCAAAAAAAATACAAAAAAAAAACACCCTACCCCCACATCCCTATCTTTCCCTCGAACAAAGTCCAACCAAGGTGGTTCCGTCCAAACGAAACTGGAGCCTTCCTTCAAGCCAAATTGAGTAAGAGCATGCACCACACCATTGCCCTTTCGAGGTTGATACAAAACATCTATCACTAACATGTCGACCACCACATTGCCAATGTTGCTCCACCAATCCATTCTGCCATTAAGCCTTGAAACTTGGGAGGCAGTTGCAAGTGTAAAACGATTAAAACCCAAAAAGCATATCATCCATAAACCTTCCCGTATGGCCACTATTTCCCTCCCAAAAACATCCAACCCCTGCGGCCCTGCAGCAGCAAAACCACAAAAGAAAATTCCTTTCATCAACTTACAGAGTCAAGTAACACTTTTGAACTAATTATACAAGGTTTTTTTATTTATGCTTTTTTTAATATTGAAAGAGTCATATATTGAAGCAAAAGTATCAATCAGCAACATCTATACGATGTGTTGCTTTTTTTTCTCAGACGAAAATACATGAATTTAATTAATATGATATCCATACAACACAAAATCAGAGGATTCTCAAAACAGCCTTGTACATAGACATACATAAATCCCCTTTAAAGAGAAAATAGAAAAGCACACCACAACACCAAGAGGAATGACTTACCATAATGATAATAGATTGTTGATAACAATGAAATAGAAGTTTCTTACTGAGAAGATACTTGGACAGAAGAACTTCCCGATGTACTCGCTTTGCCAGACCGCCTTACCTGAGGCAATCCAATGTACTTATGCGGGACATGGGCTATTTTCGACCAATCCTCACCGCTACCTTGTCTGCATCTTTCCTCAAGCTCAGGACATTCTTGAATAGAGAGGTGCTGGAGTTTAGTGAGAAGCTTGAAACCCAGTGGCAGTAGTGTCAAATTAGGACAATCATATATGGTCAAAGATCTAAGAGAAGCAAGATCCTCAAACCATTCTGGCAAAGCTGTTAGATTCTGGCAGCTACTAATTTCTAAGCAGTGCAGGGTCTTGACATTTTGCAACCCTTCTGGCAGAGAATCAAACCAAGGACAGTTCAGAACCATCAAACTTCGAAGGGAGGAGAGGTGTTGCACTCCTGCTGGAAAAGAACCAAGATTTTGACAGTCGATGATGGTCATGTCCTCAAGCAATGTGAGTTGTTCTAAACTCGACAACAGAGAAGTCAGGTCACTACAGTTTTCAATGAACAAAGTTCGAAGCGAAGCCAAACCTGCAATTCCACCATTTGGCAGGGATGTTAGACAGCCACAGCCACTAATCTCCAGTGACTCCAGAGCTTTCAGGTTCTGTAAACTTTGTGGTAGAGAGGACAGCTTTTCACACCAACGAATGGTCAATGATTTCAAAGAACTAAGGTTTTGGATCTCCAAAGGCATTGAATGAAGCTTGGGGCATGACACAATCTTCAAGGAAGACAGACTAGCTGATGCAAAGAGCCCTTCAGGGAGAGACACTAGGTCAGGAATTTTATCAAGAAAAAGAACAGATAGCAAACTTAAATCTGCTATGGGCACCATCATAGGATTACAATCCCGCAGCTCCAAATGTTGAAGGGACTGAGGTAACGGTATATGTGCTAACTTGGGGCAACTCTTTACAGTTAATTTCTTCAATCTACGAAATGCATTTCCATCATTTGCACTTGACCACTCTTCCAAGTTTGCAAAATCACTTATTGATAGTTCTTCGAGTGATGGAAACCATATGTTTGTACCGTCACCATAGAACTCTGTACCAATGCTCTTCACGCCATGCATTCCTTGCAGAGAAAGCGTCTTAAGTAGCGGAAGTTTCCCAAGGGCTGGAAGATGTTCACAACTTCCACAGTTAGTGAAATCAGCAGCGACAAGATTTGGGAGAGACCAATCAGGAAATTTGATTCCTGGGTACCCATTTATAACTAGCTTTTTCAGATTTTTGTGTGGTTGCAGACCTTCAATAACTTCTTCAGATTTTTGTGCTATACGTGATCCTGAGACACCTACTTCAGGTTGGGCCTTAGGTAGTTTTGGGAATGAATCTCTGAATTGCGGAATAAGACCCCAGTATAATCCCAATGACTCAATATTTTTCTTCATATGCAGTTCTGCTGATTTCGCATCTAGCAGATGTGAATAAGAAACTCCAACTCTCTCCAAGCGAGTAAAATTCAACTCCCCATAAAGATTTAAACCTTGCAGCTCAATATTCCTCACCCACTTCGTTACAACAAAAAGTGGCAATGTCTGAAGATTGATTAAAGATCTAATTGCAGGAGGCATATGAGTCAAACTTACACATCCACTTAAGTTAAGATGTCTTAGGTTGGTCATGCCTACCAAAGAAGGCAAATGACGAAGAATATGACAACCAATTAGGTTTAGGGTCTGCAAAGAAAACAGTTGGCGTACTCTGCCAGGTAACTGGGTGATAGGCGTGTAAGACAAGTCAAGATACCTCAAACATGTCAAGCCAACCAAGCATTCTGGCAGATCAACAAGATAACAGCTGTTGAGATCCAGCACACGCAAGTATTGAAAACTTGAATAAATTTTATCTCCGTTCTCTAACTTGCCAGAATCTCCGATCAATAAGAGAGTTCGCAAATGTTCTGCTTCATATAGAGTTTCTGGAATTATAATTCTTGCACCATATCTATAAACAACAGAAGCATGGCGAATCTCTGCTGGTGACCAATTTTGTGGCCGACCCTGTTCAAGTACCACATATTCTTTTCCTGCAACATATCGTGCAAGATCATGAATGATATCATTCATCTTGTATCCAATTATTTCTCCACCGTCATGTAGCCGTACTTCTTGCAAGAAAGATATCCACAACAATTTGGAAAAGTATTCCTTACCGATGTCTTCAAGCCGCTTGCTTCCCTTTTGTGGAATGAAGCCTTCTGCCATCCATAAATGAATCAACTTGTGCTTCTTGAACTCATAATTTTTGGGAAATAATGAGCAGAATGCAAAGCATTGTTTGACATGCGATGGTAGATGATGATAACTGAACATCAGGGCAGGCAAAAATTTATGTTCGCTTTCTTCTAATTCCCAAAGTTCACAATCTCGCATAAATGACCACTGGTTTTCTTCTCTTTCCAAACGCATTGAACTTCCCAAACTTTTTGCTGCTAATGGCACACCTCCACATTTTTTGACAATCTGCTTTCCAATCCGCGAAAGAGTTGGATACTTCTCTTCGTGAGCTTCCCAAACTTTTTGCAGCTAACGGCACACCTCCAACTTTTTTGATAATCTCCTTTCCAATCCGTGTAAGATTTGGATACTTCTCTTCTTCTCCGCCTCCAAATGCCCGGTGCTTGAACAAAGACCAGCAATCATCATCCTTCAAACCATTTAAATAAAATGGTGAATTTGGGAAGTCTATCAAGAATGGAATTTTTTGACTGCGGGTGGTGACAATGATTTTGCATCCATCAAGAGCCCCTCTAAACAAAGGTCTTAGTTTGTCCCAATCATCCTGGTCTTCCGTCCAAACATCATCTAACACAATCAGGCATCTGTTCTTCTGTAGCAATTTCGAAAGCCGAGACTGAAGTGGTTCAATCTCCGACAACTTGCATTCATCCTCTGTTGCACACTCAATGGCTGCCTTCATAATCTTCTTGATATTGAAATCCTCAGAAACAAAAATCCATATTCTAGAGTCGAAGTATTTGACTACCCTCTCATCGTTATATGCCAACTGAGTAAGAGTGGTTTTGCCAATTCCTCCAACACCAATTATTGGAATACAAGTTGCATATCCATCCTGGGAAGTTTCCGAAGATCTTAACAGTTCGACTAACTTCTCTTTCTCATCGTCTCTTCCATATATCTTTGAGTCGTCAACGGAAGAGTAAGTCTCCCTTTGGATAGATAGTCGATCTGCTATGCTAGGCTCTTTAAAATTAAATGTCAAGAGTCCCTCATTTATCGTCTTTTCTAATCTGTGGATTGCCTTTTTAATTTTTTCAACATCAGAGCCTCGGCTGACAAAGTAACCACCGATGTTGGGATTGCGAGCGATAAACAAGTCCAGAAGGTCCTCAGCGTCAGAAGCAGCTTTCTTGAGGTTTGACAACCAAAGCCTAACATATTTGTTGGTTAATTGTTGATCCTCTGCAGCTTGAAGAATAGCTTGAACCCTTATTAAGGAATCCTGTAGGCTGTTGCGGTTGTCCTCGACACCCCAGATATCAGCAAGTGTTTCTAAGGCTGGGGAGGCCAATCTGTCAAAGATCACTTGCAAAGCAGGGGATAAAACTATGCTTGCTGCTTCCATTTCTAGCAGCGACAAGGCTGAGATGGTGGCAAAAATGGTGAGAATAGTTGGATCTGGAAATGGAATGGATCTGAACAAGTGAAGAGTTTCAATTTGATTGATGTTCAAAAGCAAGAACATATGTGATTCACACTCAAAGTCAAGGTCTATCATCTATCCTAATCACTATTCTCACGGCCCCTCTTTGAAAAACTTGCATCCAATTACCTCACTTCTATCATCTTTTTCAGCAGAAATTTCCCCACTACCCTTCACCAAAGAAAGAAAGACATTTTTCCACCTTCATCATTGATTACGACGTATTATTTTTGTCAACATACCATTATAAATTCCATGTTTTGTGACCTCCCTATCTATAGGGATGCATGTTGTAAGGTTGTGGTATCCCATTCAAATCTGAAGCATTAACCTAGAAATGAACATAAAGTAATATAGAGCTTACTCTCATTATTTTGTCTATTTCACAACACATTATCAACACGAACGTCACTTTGATATATTTTATTTACTTCTAAATTTTCTCAACTAGGGGTTATGTGGTTATTTTTCTATCTCCTCACAAGATGATAATCGTTGAAGATGATCCACCATCTATGGTAGTTTGAATATCAAGATCTTACATCTCTAGTTTTCTAATCCAAATTAGTATTAGCACGGCCCCTCTTTGAAAACTTGCCACCCAACTATACATTGACAAGCACAAAGGTCCAAAGTCAGGGCCACTAGAAATCCTAAGCTATGAGTGAGGTTCTTGAAAAAAGAACGAGTGACACAGGTATGTAATAGGCTAGGGCGAAACTAGTAGAAAATAAAGTCTAGGGTCTGGAATTAAAGTATTCTAATGCATCTGGCGTAATTACTTAATGCTCGTATGTTTTTCACCTTACTTTTCTTGAGCTCAATCATCTCCTTTTCTTTTCCCATCTTTTTTCTCATTCATTCAAATTTATTGAAACAAAACTCAACAGTTGAATTTTTGTTGAGTTTATAGTTGTGTTTTTGATCTGTTTCAAAAAGTAGAGATTTAGTACAGGAGATATATAAGAATCTCTCCCTTTAAGCAATATTTCTTCAGTAAGAAAAGAACGTTGAGTTCTTGCTTGTTTTCTTTTTGTCAAAAAACATTGAATTCTGCTTTATATAAAGCTAAACAACAATGACTTGAATTACGAGGGAGGAAAGATACTCTAAAGTCATTCGCGCCAAATTCAGAGTACCAAACTCGAATGATCCACATCATCTGTTTCTAATAAATAAAATTTTCATCATACACCACATATGTTGGTATTCTAGATTTCTCATTCTATTCATGTGGTCCTTAGAAAGCATAAAATTGCTGCACAGTTTTGTGGTCCTTAGAAAGCATTATTGTTGGTTCATTAGTGGAGGTGAAGATAGGTATATGTTCCTTTCTAGTTTCCCCTGTCTGAGTACCTGCTGGTCAGTACTGTCAGTTGCAAGGAGAGAAGTGTGTGACTAGGAAAACCATCACGCTAGAAGAAGAACAACAGCAAAATGGGTGGGATTTTGGGTTGGGATAATCTAAAACGAGAACTTACAAACAAACAAAATCTGCTGGGTGGCATGTATTGACAAAACCATCAAGCTAGAATAAGAAGCAGAAGCAGAAGCAACAGCATTAAGCTTATCCTTGACTGGAATTTAAAAATAAAAAAGAATCTGCTGGGCATTTTATTAACTGAAAATTTAAAACTACTGATAATCTTCACATTTATAATTCCACTAAGATTTAATATATATCTGTGGCTATCAACAGATTAATAAAACATTGATATTGCTTGTTGTTATACATATCTGGTTGGTACTAGAAATGTCCTACCAGAACTGTCCTACCATAAATAGCCCACCAAGAATGGCGTACCAGATATTGCCTAGCCAATATGGCCTACCTGAAATGTCTTACCCATTTCAATATAGCCTAAGCCAATATGGCCTAGTCAAAATGTCATACCCGAGCAATAGGTGCTAGCCAACTCCTACTGCCTCAGCCATGTGCAGACCACCACGCATGCCTTTGATAATAAATCACCACGTGCATCCTGACATGTCACCAGGCCACTACCCTCGATCGCCACGTGATGAGCCATTGGTCCCAGGAAAACAGGCCCATGCCTTCCCCACGTGCCCAGCTCATACCCCACTGAGGATGACCCACGCCTTTGCCACTTGCCCATTAAACAATGGCAAGTGGCCCTCATCTCCTGCCTATATAAGGGAACAGACCCCTCTCCAGCAGGGGGCTCCAACTCTCCTCTCCATGCACATATCTGGAGACACCCAAGCTCTCCCTCTTCCTCTTGTATTCAGGCTCTCAAGCCTCTCTCTATGTATAATGTAATACCCATCTATAATAAATACCAAGCTCTACAGTGGACGTAGCCCTATTCATGGGTGAACCACTCTAAATCTGTGTAATGTGTGTGATTGACCAAATACCCTCTAGGGCTGTGCTAAATCACCCGTTAACATCATGCATTTGCTCTGATGACAATGATTGCAATCGGGCAATGTGGGTTCCGTCCAAAATTTTGGTGCCCTGTCACGCATGGCCCAAAAATTAAATAAGGTAAGAAATTAACTTTTATTATAATAATTATGACATTGTCAAAATGATATAAACAGAAAATACTCCCACAAATCACATCTCCTATAATTTTCGAAATAGCTATTATATTTCAGTCATGCTCCTATATGAACGTTGGTTTTCTTTTTGTTGTGGCTTTGCATTCTTGCACTATGGCAACCTGTACACAAGGTACATAAATATTCTTTTACTCTTTGCCACAACTTTTGTTATTCACTGATTTTGTTTGTTTGTTTGTTTTCTTCTTTGACAATACAATTCCTCACTGATTTTGTTTGTTTGTTTTCTTCTTTGATAATACAATTCCTCATTGTTTTACTTTCGATTTTGTTTAGCTCACTTTTTTTCTTCACGTTTTTGTGCTGTAAAGTTCATTCCCACCTAATATCTTTAATTAAGATGTAATTAACCATTAACACAAGTGGGTTTTCTGTTTGAATAATGCTATTTAGACACACAACATTGACCACTTTAGCTGACCACCTTATGTGGCAACTGATGTGTCATGCCATGTCAATTAATGAATGTTACCATGAGGCCACTTACTAGGAACACTAGGGTTTTTTAATTGACATGACGACATTCATTAATTGACTTGGCATGACACATCAATTGCCACATAAGGTGGTCAGCTAAAGTGGTAAATGTTGTGTGTCTAAATAGCATTACTCTTTGTGTTTTCCCCCCACATCATTTCGATTCCTTTGTTTCTTGATAGTTAATTATCTTCCAGCTTTTCCTATTTTCCCCATGTTTTTGTTGTGGCGTTTTACGATTATTGGTTGTATCACTCAAATCCACACATTTTATCTAAAATCTACATGTTTATCAGGCATAGTAGAGTATACTGCTTATGTGTTAGGTACATTATGTTATATTTTACCTAGTAATTAGATACATTATTTTATATTTACCTAGTATTTAGGTAAATTATCTTATATTTACCTAATAATTAGGTATATTATATCATATCTATTTACCTAGTAGTCAGGTAAATATTTGTTGGGAAGATATCATCAATAATTCTCCTATTTTCATTGTTTTATATGATCTTCTTTTATATCATGGCAGGCAATGGAAGGATTCAAAATTTAAAATATGAAATCTATTTAGAAGGAAAGAATCGATACATTAATTTGGATTTTCAATTAATATTCTTTCCTTATTTACTTCAAAGGGTAAAATTGATACATTAAAAAATTAATAAAAATCAATGGACTAAAATCTACAGCAAAAAAGGTGTGGACTAAACCCAATAACGGCTAGGAATTTTGGACTTAGATCGAAGAACCCCTAAAATTAATGATCCTACATACTTGAGCTACAAGAATTCATATCAGTAAAAATTATGTCCCTGAATAAATTCAATAATTAACCTTTATTGGCAAAAATTCAATAACAGATTAATAAAACATTGATATTGCTTATCCTTGATGATGAGGACAAGGTGTTCTACCAATTACCTCAAAGAGGACGAGGCCGAGGCTGCGCAGCAATAAAACCTGATGTTGACAAGTGTCGATGGTTGTCAAGTTACAGCCGTATGGGCAATCAAATGACAATGCTATTGTTGAGGTGAGTGAATTATGGCTTGAGCTTGCAGCAATCAAAGTAAATTGTTTTAGTCTTCTTGGTAGGTGCTCTCGTTTCCACTGTACATATTCCTCTTTGTGTGGCCCAAGGAAGTGAGGGGCCTTTTCCAAAAGAGAGAAGCCCAGATCCAGAAATATAGAAAATTTTCTAAATTTGTATCTATATTTTTGTACAAAGTGATATTTTAGGAGAGAGAAAATATAATACAAGACCTCGGGTGCACAGATAAAATTAATGATCCTACATATTTGAGTTACAAGAATTCATATCACTAAAAATTATGTCCCTAAATAAATTCAGTAATTCACCTTTATTGGCAAAAATCTGTTCCCTGAATTGACAACTACCAACTGGGTTCTTCAAATAATTTTACAACCAATTCTAGAATGTAGAAGATAAATCTTTCATCATCAAGTTATTATTTTTTTGGTTATCAAAATGCCGCCAAACTAGGGATATGTGTGTGGCAAAGCAGCTTGCATGTGACGCACAGACCTTCTAAGCAACCCTTTAGCAAAGGGGGGCTTCATTTTGCTTTACTAGCGCCTCTCTCTCTCTCAACTAACCCTAGGAAAACCCAGCCGCCGCTTTCACAACAAGGGGGAGGAGGAGGTCACTACCCCTCCTCCCCGTTCCTCTCCTCTCAACCCTCTCCTCGCTCCCCCTCTCTCCTCTCTCTTCCCTCTACCATTCTCAACATACTCAGCCATTCTCACCATCTCCTCCCTCTGTGCTTGACTTGGTGATTCTTCCACTCTTGTGGGTGGATCTGAGACTATATGTCTTATTTTAATTATGTGTCCCCAATTCTCCATCAACCTCTCTCTAAATCCAAGTTTGTCCCAGCATCTTCCATCTACCCCTCGAATTCCTTTTCCCCCTCTTTGATCTGGCCTCTCTTGCGGGATGTAGCAGCTAATCCTAAACGCGATCTCTCGCGTCCCCATCGGAAGGT